TACTTTTTTGTTCAGTTTAATCTACTTATCTTGTCACGCACTTGCATTCAGCGGTGGGCCGGATAAATACGCGTTTATTCGTCAATCTTCAAAAATTAATGTCTCGTTTACGATTGCGAATTTTGCAAAATGGTAGAGGACTTTTCGATTCAGTTTAATCCGTTCAACCTACCTATGAACGGTGATACACCTATTATGAGACACCCTGTATATAGATTAATAACAGAAATAGCTCAGGTAACACAATATTTTCATTACGATGACTTTAGTAATCATCTTTCACTTATGTTAGATATTGTGAGACAGAATTATTATTTACAATTCTTTTTATGCACATAAAATTATCACGTAATTGCGCATTATGGCGCTAATTTGCTACTCTTAACCGCGGTCTCGTTTACGTGTCGTCATGCCGTCTATCCTCACCTTAGCAGATCCGCCGGAAGTGGAGGAAGAAGGGAGAGTGACCTACGGAGGACGTCCTACGAGTTGCGCGCGCATCCCTTAGGAATATTGTCAAACGGCGGACGCACGATGCAGACCGATGAAGAGATTCAGTACGCGCCGAGGAGCCGGCCGGTGAGCTTTTACGACAATTACAAGGTGAGTCTTCGCTCACGTGTCTCTGTTTTACGCACGTCATTGTGAGAAGCTTCGCGTGCTGTCGGTGTGTGTAACGTGACTAGCACTAATCATTGATCCGATGACTTTCGTATCTTTTGGATTAGCGGATATTTATACACGCGGATATCCTTGCGTAAACGAGCAATAAGAATGTATAAGGTGTCACAGAATTATCGTTACCTTTCGTTCTGCGATCAATTGCTTATCGATTTTTTTTTTTAATTTCGGATTGTCAACATGGCTCTAAAATTATAATAAATGCGAATGAAAATGTACAATAGATTTTGTTTTAAGAGTGTTGATTTAATCATTCAAATTTTTGAACAAGCAATACCAAAAATGTAAAGTAAGAGATATAATTCTCGATTAAATTTTGAAAGAATCGAAGGATCAAAATGAAGTATCTAAAGAATGTGAGTTCTTCTAAATGTTCTAGTAAACGTATAAAATGTAAATAATATAAAATTGTCTCTGCGTAATATTATCGGTAGCATCTACGATACTGGCAAAGATATATGAAAAATCATTCGAGCAGAGATACATGAAGGATCATAGTCCTTTGCGTTTACCGTTAATTATTTAACGAATCTACAGAGAAATAGCTGATACAAATAAGACTCAACATATATCTATTGCTTTTTATATCGCTAAAAGTATTCTGCCAGAAAGCATCTAGGAAGTATCAAGGAAAAATGCGCTTACAAATACCGGAGTTTCATAACCGTAACGTTTCATACATACTAGTATAATTAGAATCTTGATTGTAATCGATATTAATTAGACATGCTCGCTGTGCGCGAATCATCATAAATTTACATTCTAACATCGATGCTAAACACCTATTCCGTACATATACAATGTATTTCACTTACGCAAGTAGATGACTTTTCTTCTGTATCTAAAAGCAAAGTTTTTAATAAGACGGTTTCCAATTTATTTTATTTGTAACTAATATTTAACTGTAACGCAGAGTCGAAATGAACTGCAGTATCCCTATAGCTAATATTGTGGCCAACTCATATTCAATTTTATTTAAACCATTATAGACTAATAATTTTAAACTGAAGAATTTTATTTAAATTATTAGACTAATAATTCTAAACTGAAGAAAAAGGAGTTGCTAATTAATTTTAAGAATCTTATATTAATTTTAATATTAAATATAGCATTGCATTACTATTTTTCTCGACTGCGTTAGAATATAATATTTTTCGAACACTATATGTATAACTCAGTCTTAAAGTGACAAGAATAATTTGTCAGAATTAACGCGATTGTTTTTTTTTTTCGACCTCGCAGGACGTGCCGGTGACGTCGTCTTGCGTCACTTCCACAATGAGTGTCGGCAATTTGAATCAGGTTCGCGATGGCAATGACACGTCCGCCGTATCTCCGACCAACAACAACAATAATAGCATTAATAGCAGCAACAATAATAATAACAACAGGGTCAGTAACGCCGTTAGCGCGGGCAACGTATCGAAGATTCACACTGCCAAAGTCACGGGTGAGTTGAATGCACTTTTTACGATGCGCTTCCTGCGTGCGCGCGTGAAATGTCTACTTCTTTTATAAGCGTGCGATGATCGATACACAGTTGCTACATCTGTAAATGGCGAATCGATTCGCTTCGAGCGCTTTCCGCTTACATTTTACCGAAGTTTTTTCGTAAATTTTCGTGCTTAATTTAAAACAATGGAAATAATAATATAAATTAACATAAAATTTACAGAAATATTATTAAACATTAAGGATCTCTAACCGTATAAGGTGTTTTTTTACTTATTTCTGTTGTTCGCACATTCGTCTAGTTTCACTTAATACGAATTAATTTTAAACACTCTTAAGCGATATCGTTGAAGCGTCATTATAAACACGATTAATCTCGAAATAATAAAGTTAGAGAAAATGAAAATCAGTAATAAATAACTGGAATTAAATTGTCTTACACTATTCGTCTATATACGCACCGTGCGCTAATCTCTCGTGCCAGCTTGACCTGTTTGTTCTACTTCAGATGTTACCGGTGCACGAAACCTTATCGTCCTGAATTCTCACATGTGTTGTGGCACTTGTATTTCGCGACAGCTACGTTTATGCGTGCCAAGATCGTGCGTATACTAAGAAAGTTGCGTATTTTGGAACAGACAGTGTATGTGGAATATAATTAACTTTTCCACACATGGGCGTTCGCGGGGGGAGGGCAAGGAGGGGCATTTGCCCCCTCCCCCTGAAATCAAACGAGTATAAGAAAATTCAGAATTTGCTCCCTTATTTTTACAAATAATGAATATGTTTGTCAAATGTGAGAAAACTAAAATACAACACAGGTACACAACGTTTGGACACTTGCTTCTCATGGTAGTTCGTATTAAAAATTTGGATCATGTCTTCCTCTAGAAAAAATCCTGCGGACGCCCTTATTTCCACATTACTTTCAATGATGAAAAATTAAAAAAAGCATTACATCTCTTATAAGTATAATATCATATTTAATAAAATTTTTATAAAAAAAATAAAAACGCATACAAAGATTTTGCAAATGTAATCGACGGACACATATTTTTCTTAAATTTTACTGTAATATTACAATATCCTGGGATGAAAGAAGTCTAGCATATACGCTCGCGTAAATAATAATTAAATCGCGGATTTGAAATGTGAAAGCGAAGTTGAGTTTTCTGACGTCATACATAATTGCCATATATGTGTAAGAAAACTGATTCATCCGCGCTTGCAAAATACCTTTCCTGTCTATTATATATTGAGATATATAACTCTGAAATATTGAACGTTGAAACAAGATGGGGGAATTAGATACTTGCACCTGGGCACAAAGTAATTATTTTTTGCTGAACGTTTCACTGACGACAGGTGCGGTGTCAACCGGGAACATCGGGCGTATTTCCCGCAGCGACAAAGAGAAGGAACTCGACCGGGCACCATCGATGGCCAACTGTTTATCAACCACGGTTCCTGTCAATCTGGCAGCTTCTCAAATAGCCGGTCGACATACGCCCACGAGAAATTCTTTGAGGCACAGCAGGATGATAGTAATGCATCGGACCGGCCATCGTGAGTACACAATATAACTTTTTACCTGAGCTTCGTATCTTTCTAATCACGGCGTGCCGCGCGATACGACGAAAATATCTGTAATGTTTGCTATTCATATTTTTTGAGAAGTAAAAATAAAAGTTCATATACTTTAAGAAGTAAATTATATTATAATAAGTATATGCGAGATAAATCTCGCATACTTAAACAATCGATTTTTTATAACATTCTTTAGAAATTAATTTAATTGTATATCATGCAAGCCTTGCATTGTGCAATGAACGATGTACAGTCGTGGACACATCGGTTGCAACACTTTTTTTTACAGATTTCTAATATATATTTAATATACATAATATATATTTTATAGATAACTAATATTTTGCAAACGCGAACCACGATGTACTATCTTTAGTCTAGAGACAGTATAACACCAATCGTGGTCCGCATTTGCAAAATATTAGTGCGTCTTGAAACCTACAAAAAAGAAAGTGTCGCAACCGATATGTCCATGACTGTACCTAATCAAAGGATTTTGTGGCTCTCAATTAGTAGAACGCGATAAAAAAAATTCTGTGCCATTCGGTATTATATATTATAAATACACATTACGGTGGCGAGAAAGTTACGAGAGTTTAAGGATCTAGGCAAACGTTTTGGAATATCATCAAGAACACGTGCAATCGGCGAGGTACCGCAAGGCGAGGAGAGTCAGTGGCATTCTCTGCGCGCTCTCCTCGCTCGGCGATGATCCCGATGAAATCGTGCGTGTACGATTATCAGTTTTCTGCGATCGGCAGCGATGCGATCGATTTCTCCCGAAGGTGAGATCGCGCGCTTAGCGAATTGCACGGCCGTGAATCGTCTCTCCGGCCGCGGAATGCGACCGGCCCGGTATCATTTGATTTTCTCCATTTCTTTCGATAACTATCTCGTTGCTTCGCGCGACACATTATAGCGCTGCCATATAATTTTGCGCTAACGAACGCGCGACTGTCGCTCTTAATGCCCATCGCCGCCGCCGGCAGGATTGAGGTTGATGCCAAGGCAGACAGGAAGATTATAATTAGCGCCGCCGCGGACTGCAGGAAAGTGCGGCGGCTTTTTATCACCGCGGTAATTAGATAGAATAAAATGTACGGAGCAAATGGTAGTTAATGGAAGAAGTTAGAGGTGATGAAAATGCAACGCGCGAAAAAGGATAGGAGCTTTTAAAGAGGGTGGACGTGAAATTAGGGCGTTTTATATCTGTACACTGATCAAATGATGAATATGTTTAAATAATAAAAAATATCAACAGTAACATATATTCTATTTTAAAAAATGTTATAAAATTAAAAAAACTTTCTAATCTCTATTGAAATCCATTAAAATTTTATCTAAAGACCGCTTAAAATCCATATTTATCAATCGATTTAAGATGTTATATTCAATTACTGTTAATATTATTATAGTTTATTTTCTATCAAAATTTTATGTAAAATTATGATTTTATCTATTATATGATTTGGCGTGTTTTGAAGTATATATAAGTCTTCACATGCAAATATATACATATGTATGTGCAATTATTTTATTGCAATTATGTAGCACACTATGTGCTTTTCATTCCAAAAAAAATAAAAATAAAAAGAGAAATACAATTTCTTTGAAGAGACACGCTTGAAGAAACACGGAACGTTGGACTTTATTGTATATTCTGCTAACTACTCATATATCGTCTCGTTCATTTAGAAAATAGGATTTACTCTTTTCTTCTTCAGTTATCTTTGCGTATGTGTTTCACTGAGTTTTAAACGTTTCTTGCTCCGCTGGCCACAGAGCGTACTTTAATGTAGATGCACATGGTTCTCCTCCAGATAGCGGAAGTACCGAGCCGGAAATATATCGCGTGATCTTTTTGGTGCGCGTACGAAATAGTAGCAGTCTCATCTTGGCGCGCGAATGCAAGGAATTCATTGTACTTTTTAATCGTCTCGCTTTGTACACACCGCAATTAATTATCGTACCTAACCGTAATTCCATTATACTTGCAAAATCGCAACATTTTACAACTTCTCAATTTTAATGAATAAAAATTATTTCTGCTGAATTATAATTATCGAAAGGCTAAACTTTCTTTTCAGAAAATATATTGAGTAAAAAATTATATAAATCTAAAATAATATAAATCTGTTATTAAAAAAAAAATAAATACAATTGCCAATTTATATAGTAATATATTATCCGATCTTATACTATAATACTATTCAAATATTAATTGAAGCAAAAAAAGAAAAACAAGTACGTGAACAAGAAAAGTACCGTTTTAATACCTTTGTGAGGATACACATGCGACACGTGCGAACGACGAAGGGTCGAAATTGATGAAGTGCGTACGTACCGCGATTCCGTTCTGCTCTGTTCAAGGGCTTGTATATACACTTGGCATATACGTGGCCCTAATTCTATTTCGGGACCGGCGGGACAGACTTATAAGTCGACCCCGCTATTCTTACGCCCAATTTCGGCACCCTTACACGCATCATCCGCGTTTGGCTTTCGCCTAGAAACACCGAGTAGTTAAACGATCACGCTATTTTCTTCATTGCACTGAAACACGAGTTAAGTTCCAGACGAGATAATTTCAGCGGACAACGCTTGATATATTGTGCAATGTATATTACTTAATTGAAATATGTGTGGCCTAAAAATTATTTATAAAATTCTTATATTAATAAACTTCTCGCTCGTGGCGCATAACAAAAAATATAATTGTTGAAATATTTATCTAGAGACAAGTCGCGTCTTACACAAACAGCTAGCCGTTAGCTATCAAAATTACAGTGTAATTACTCAATTAACCTGCGGTCGTTCCTTCTTACGCAAGCTGCATTTCGTTAGCGTTATTCATGCATCGGGGACAACGGATGATGGAAACGTACCACCCTGTATCCGTATGTTATGCGTGGGCCGCACATTTTGCGGCGAATTTGTCGGCCGTGACGACGCGACGTATAATATAAACGAGGACTAGCGTTGCTCATTGTTATCTCGTATGTATAACGTGCATGCGCTCACGTTCACATTCACATAAACCGGCCCATTTACATGTAGTCGACGTGTCCGATTTCTGAACGAAGACAAATTACAGGTAGTTGGGAATTTACGCGGTGAAACACGTCACAGAAACATGTACAAGACGATATTAAATGAAATCAGAATTTAGACTTTTATTAACTTTGGTAACAGTAGTATCGGGCGATTCTAATTCTCGAAAATTGCCGAATTTAGAAGTTTAAAAACACTTAACGTTTATTAAAATTACAGAAGTCGAGAATACTTCTTATTTTAATAACGGATGTTGCATGTTTTTAAACGTCTAACTTGGCAATTATTTTCACAGTCTTGATCAATTATTGTTACCGCGGGTGTACACAGGTCAAGCATTTTAACAATTAATTCCCATATAACCCGCTGAATATTTTCGCACTGGCGATACATCAGCGGCAAATTGATATTAAATTAATGGTAATAAGGGCGTGATCCATTTCGTCGGTCGGTTGTCGCCGTTTGACCTCTTGGTACGGCCCTTCCTTTCTTCCTTTATGCCCGCACCGGTATATCCTCGCATTGTGCAATAAATACAACGTACACATATGGCGAGGCAATACAATGCGCGAACAACGCGTATTCATGTTCTGCATTCCCGTATCGTGCGAATCGCTCTTCTCAAAGGCGCAGCAATATCCGCTACTTAACGGCCGCGGTGCTCGTCCGTTACGTCGAAAACGGTCCACTGTGGTTTTTTTACGGGAGGAAAAGTCTGAAATTTTACGTTATCTGAAGATAATTACGCGCGAGACCTGAGATTACGTTCGGCTTTTATTTTTATCGGCCTTTTTACGGTGTGCGGACGTTTACATTCCGCATACATATAGCTGCAATTGCAGCTCGCCAGTTATACTGCGTACCTACCTGCGGTACAGTTAGAAACGTAATCCTCACGTGCGCAGGTGCGCACATATTGCGTTTCCGCGAGTGAAAATTGTTTTTCCACTTCCGACGTAGCAAGCACGTATCTTCTACGAATTGGCGTCCATCAGCGGCACACGATTGTGAGAGATATTAAAATTCCGCGTGGATGTCGCGTTACAGAAGTATTTCTCTTTTACACGCGCGTAACGTAAAATGCATGCATGATCAGTCCCTGCGGACAATAGTGTGAAGGCAAAAGTTTAATGAACCTTGAGCTTGATATCTAAAATTGTATTTTAATTTAACAATGATAAAATAAGTATGTGTAGTTTCTCTCTCTCTCTCTCTCTCTCTCTTTCTCTACGTGATTTAGATTTCTCACGCATTCTTTTATTTTCATATTTATTATTTGTCACATAATTTTTTAGCAGCTTAAAATAATTTGAATTGTTGAATAGAAAAAGACATTATATCAAATTTTTGATAACGAAATATATTTTGCAAATTTTACAATATCGCAAAGAGAAAAAGGTTTTTTTTTTATATTGTTAGCGTAAATTAGTTAACATGTTAATCAATTATTGTTACTAGAGACACTAAAAATAGCGCAATTATTATTTTTTGAGAATTCTTAAAATCTGCTTTCTCAAACATGGAAAAAGAAATACGTTATGAAATATTACAAGTGATTTTTAACTTCCGAGAATCTCTATCTTAAAATCTGTTTTCTTAAACGTAAAAGGATATAAGATTTGCATATCTATTAGACACATCGTTTATTGGTCCCCTTTGCAACCTTATTCGTTTTAAAGTGTGCCGCGACATGAAAACAGTTGAGAAGCACTGACTTGGGCTCATAGAGAGTGATTATCTCAGGTACGTACATGTGCTTGCACATACACGATAATAGAGTTACCATATTATATATGATAGAAAGAAAATATAAATAATATTATATATATATCTAAATCAAAAAAGTTTGAATAATATATGATATTATATATATTTTCTATTTCATTTCTATTTATCTAACATTATATTTAATTATAAACTATTAAGGAGAGTTAATAAGAAAATTATAGAGTTAATGTGCTTTCTCGAATAATTCTCAGATAATTAAATTGATAATTGAGAAATCTCGTCTCTTCTTTCGTTTTTACCTAATTGTCGCAGCTTCACTTCGAGCAGGATATTAGTCTATTTATATCTATTATATCTACTGAGGTATAAGTTTGTGTAATGTACTTCTTCAACTGAATATTCAGCACAACATATATTTAGCAAACATGTTGCATTTGTCCCTTCACTCTTGCGGTTTTTCAATAGCGGTTAAAGTACTACTCATTTCTTTCTCATATTATCGTTTGTATTATAGTCTGTTCTCTATTGGTGTCAATACACTGTACTAATCTCTCTTTCTATTGCTTAATCTGTAAATATTGATAGATCTATCGTGCACGAAAAAAATTTACTTTTATTACGATAAGATTTATAATGTGTAATCATTTCTATAACACATTTATAACCGATTTCGTCCGTCAATTTTAATTTTGGATTAACCAATCGTAGATTTTTTTTCACTACAACAAACTCTATAATTTGAAAAGAAAGCCACAGAATGTAATTTTATCTGGTTGTTGTATGGCGATGAAGAAATTGAACATTATTGTCTCGGACGCATCAATTTGATGTGTTTTATCTTAGTACATTTTTTACTTATTTCTAATTATATCCATATTTTTAAATATTTTATATGATGTTTTAAAAAAGTCATTTACTTATTTAAAAAATTGTTTTCTACAATAATACTACAGTACATAGGATATGAGCTTTCCAAACCAGTTCGATGTGTCTAAAATGAAAAAAAAATTGTATAGGTTTCTTTTTTTAATAACTTAATAAATTTAAATCGAGATACATAGCATCCTTATTTAGAACTGTATTTTATAATAATTGCAGTTTTTCTTATAAATCAAGAAGACAAATTTAAGATGTTTACGCTTACGAAACTGAGCAAGGGACTGGCCATTTGCATACCATTGCAAAATACTATGATAAACGATCGCTCGCGTTTCTATCCGATATCCGAGTGGGAAACACTCGCGAATCTCGTGTAAATGATGATAGTAGGCGTGTTTCCTGGCGATTCGATACAAGGCAAGGACGCTACGTTCAACCGTTCATCAACCGGTTAGGATACCTTGTAAGGAGGGACGGCGACGAGGCCACCCCGTTCGGGAACTCTCCTTTCCTTCGCAGACCTAAGTTTCTCGGTACCATGGGATATCGGTCGACAATCAGCCGTTTATACGCTATCTGGAGAAATGTGTGTCGCAGCGAAGGATGAAAATGGCGCGTGTCTGTCTTCGCAACGTCAAATTATCTAATTACCTATTAGGCGACCAACCGCATGTCCCGACTCTCTATAGCTTAAGAGATCCGCGTGAGCAAATCGTTTGTAACGGACGCAATGTGGCGAATTGCATTACGAAATTATCGACTTCTTCTCTGGGGAATAATCCCACGATAGCTAAGAAACGATGTGAATCGTGATGGAAGATTAAGACGACGATGATACGATGGTTCACTTTCTTTGTGTGTATATTCGAATTTGTCTAATCTTCGCTTTTAAAAGTAACTCTTCTATTTTATTCCGATATTATTTCATATTTTTAAGATAAATAAGTTGGTGCATAATATGCTGATTACTGCGAAGATAATTTAGAATACATTTATTTACAGAACGAATTCTGAGTAAATTTAAATTGCCAGAGATTTCATTATGTACTGACACGCGATATTGCAAAAACAGTATGATAGCGCGAGAGTTAAAAAGTAGGTTTGTATTTTAGGCCCGGAGAAGTTTTTACCTCCTTTGATTTACCATCGACGATTAGCTCGATGCCTGGCGGCATTGCAGACTATCCTCGGCGTCGCGGTGATTTCCTTGTCATTATGGTTGCTGCTTTGGGCCCCGCGCCTGCCTGTCATGGACAATCCGTATTGGAGCGGCATGCCCGTAAGTGCAATAATTTTACACGGCGATTAGATTTGCATTCCTTACCATGATGATGTAAAAATAGTACAGAGCGGCAATCCTCACTTATCTAACAAGCTGATGAGTCTGCTAGAATAGCCGCACTAACGTATAACTGCGATTAGATTTACATACGTATTATAACATGACGTAATCATACTTCTTAAACAATAAGGACATGGATATTGTCGCTTTTAGTATATACTATGAACGTAATAGTAACAGTTTTAAGTCAGTGATTATTTATATGGAGGCTTTATATGGGACTAACAGTCATTTATTGATAACTATATCAGTTTTAACAGTTTTGAATACTTTTGTAGATATATTTTATAAAGTTAACATCATTTAAAAGCTTAACTAACCAAAGGTAAGTATATGCAATAAGTGTATATATAAAAGTAATCGATAATAGAATAAAGACTCTGAGAATAAAGAAAGAAAAATGACAAGCTTACAATTAGTACATACAATGGCTATTAGTGCGTAATGATTGATATTTATTTTCTTGTATAATACATAAAAAACGCAAACGATTTGACCATCGGTTTTAATCCTTTTCAGTGCGCAAGAGATAAGCTAATCTTTAGTAATAATTTAGACATGGATTTTTGTGTGTCAAGAACAAAATTTGTTACGAATATAATTTGACCGTGATCAGTGTTTAGTGAGTAAAAACATTGTTAAGTCAAGAGTTGTAAAGCAAACAAGTGGCGCGACCGTATCGGTACGGAACAAATTAATAATGCGAGCGGAGCGGTGAGTGAACAATGGTCACGGCCAAATTTTATTCTTGATTACATTGCGTTTTTTTATTGGACTTGTATCAGACAGATTTTCTGTCATTTGTTTGTTAAAAATGCAGAGATTTGACGACAGAAAATTGTAAAAAAAAAAATGATCATGTCTCTTGCGCATTAAAGAAGGCTAAAATCAATAATAAAAAAAAACATTTGCGTATACTAGGAAATAAATGTTAATCATTACACAATAATATCCGGTTCACTAGGCTATTCACTCCAAATCCAAGTGTGTAAATCTGTAATTACTTTTTACGCATTTATACGTAGTTATATTTTTACACAATTTATCTGTGTTTTACACAGTTAAATGCATATTTTTACAATAATATGTGTAAGCGTGTAAAACATATGTATTTAACTGTGTAAAACAGATAAAATGTGTAAAAATACAACACGCGTTTAAATGCGTAAAAAATGACTACAGATTTACACACTTGGATTTAGAGTGTTGTTTTTTTTTTTTTTTAAGTAATCTTCTGTCTTTTTAACAATGAGAACATTTTGCTAACAACATTTTGCAATTTTATATTTATGCAATGTGTTATTCGTAAGAAAAAATTTATATAATTTTTAACACGTAAGTATGCCATGCATATTAACATTTTGTAAGTTACATATAACATTTCTTCGCAATATTTTTTTCCTCTTGATCGTTTAATAACTTTTATCTCGATGTCTCCAGCTCTTGATGTCAGGAAGCTTCGGAATTTGCCTTCTATGCTGTTTTAAAAAGGAATATCCGACTCTGACTTCTGGATTTTGTCTTTCCGTCACGAAAGTACGTAAGAATTCTGACTTATTGTAGATGAGATTTCTTAAAGAAACTCTCAAGGTCGAGAGATTTATTACTCAGCTAAATTTAATGATAATTTCTCACATTGTTAGAGTAATGCAATATATATTTATTAGATAGTATTATTATATTGTATTACAATTAATAGTACATATTTCTGCACGGACAATTAATTTAAAACATTTTAATTGCAAAAGAGAATGAATGAGATTATGAATTTAATTTAAAGTTTATTTTGATTTACTAAATTTATTATTATTATTATTATTATTATTATGAAATGTATTTTGTCTTATTTGTAAAATAATTACTATATATTACTTACAAAAATATTATATTCTTCCTTTTAATATCTCGCTTAATGTCTCTGTCACGCTTATATCACGTTTTCTTCACGACGAACAGGTAGTTAGCGTGTTTTTGGCTGTTCTGACGACCATTACGTGTCTGAGCGCGTGCATATTCTCCGCGGTGCACTTGTCACGTCTCATGGGACTGGAATGCACTCCGGCACGAGTATTGAATGCCACGTGTGTATGCAGACCACGCGGCGAGCCGTCTGATTCGCTCGAAGGTGCAGTCAGGTATGCCAAAAAAAAAAAATTAGGCATGAACCGATAAAATCACGTTACATTTTTTCTAAAGCATTAAAAAAAATTCTAAAAGTTGAAATGTATACATTTCTGAGAGCGATCTTTAAAAAGCATTTCAACTAACAATAAGTATTTCTTTTATCGGAAATCTAAATTACATAACAGAAATTACATAACATAAAAAATTTAATACCAATGTATAATTTAATGTAAAGCGGCACTATGTGTAATTTACCAGATACGTCGACCTTAATTGTCCCGAAGTAGAAAATATCCTGACGATCCTCCTTATCTTCTCGTGTACCTGCAACGGATTGGGCGTCTTGGTAGCGGGATGGTATAGTTATCTCCACTGGAGCACGCGGAACAAGAGGCCAAAGTACACCCAGGTCAGGACCAATACCATTTCCATGAACAATAAATTCAACAGTAGACCAATCTACAAATTGAACCTGGAGGAACGATGACATTTGCTGCAGATATAACGATCAAATACGCTTCCATTTCGTGATTTTGTGATTCATTAACATCTTCCGTATGATCACTATTGTGATTAGTTATACATGCGTGTACAAAGAAATATGAACTATTACAAATAAATTTTATTTTATACTAATTTATTAACAGTTGAAACCACACACACAAACACACATTTTGATAAATGCGAAACGTCAGAAATTTGTTAAATACATTTTGATAACAAGAAAAAAAGTAATCTTTACGAAGACATGAACAGGAAAATTTTATTTAAATTAGAACTGTCCTAATATGAATAACAATTATAATTTTATAAAAGAAGGATTAAGAAAGAGGATTAAATATAAGTTCATATTTATTATTAAAAATTAACATTGTAATGACATAATAATAATATTGTAATGATCATATCATTAAAATACGATAAATATATAGACTATACGATGGACCGATTTTATGGTTCGTATTAATTAACGCTCATACTTTTTTATTACGTGGAGGCTCAGTATTTGTTTAAATGTAATGTGTATTTATGTGTGCATGCGTCTGATAGTGTGTTTGTTTTTCAACAAAAGGAACTTGCGGAAATGAATGAGAATGGATCATTGATTAATTTACTTATATTAGGATTAAAGCTTATAAATGAATCTAGAATACCTCAAGAAACTACTGAAGTAAGATAACATTAAAAAAAATGTTTGCGTTTATCTTTTGTACGTTATGTGTTAGATGTGTTTAATGAAATAATATCGATCAAGAATGAATTAATGGAAAATAAATCTGTGGCGAATAAATTTGGTACCTATTGAATTATACACGACGTTCTTACTTACTGCAACATCTGATCTCATAATTGGTTAAATTATAAAAATAAAGCATTAACATATTTCATGACGCGAAGAAATAACGTAAGAAGAAAAGAAATATGTGCGATAGAAATATATGCAACAATTTTATTTGTTTTTTACTATATGAACTTCTTTCATACTACTTACATACTATGTTTAAATTCACAATTTTATTCGTAAATTATAGTATATTTGTAAATTGACTAATATGCTTGTGCATATTGCAGTTTTAAATAAATTTTTATTTTAAAATGTCATTACAAATTTTTTTTTTTTTTTTTTTAATAAAATGGTTAGCATTAATTCTATATGAATTAATGCTTCTCTTATGTGATTTCATAAAAAACAGTACTAAGAACAGCACTAAGAATTTCTATTTAAGAAATACGTTATTATTCTTGCGTTTGATGTAGCAAGTTGAAAGCCGAATATGACATCTTAAGTAACTGGAAAAAATTTAAGATAAATTTAAAATTATTCAAAATATTTGCAAATAATTTTTTTTCCTAATTTATTGATACTGACAGCTACGAACGATTCAAGATTCATCGTGACAACATAAGCGCTACTAAATTCAATGGGGGCCGTCGAACGTTTCATAATTATTAGTAGACCCTTCTTGCTGGTATCGCTAAGTTCTAGCCAATCCATTTTATAAACACTATTCGCCAAGTGAAGGCTCTATAAGTAAAAATATGACGAAATGTTGTAAATTACAAGAAGAAAATTATATATTTATTCCGTTTCTTTTATATAATTATATCTTGATATTATCTTATTTTAAATCGATCTCATATGTTTAATGATAGAATTAATTTATTTTAAATGAAATATATGTACTTTCAATTTGACTTCATTTCCAAACCAGCAATAGATAAAAATCTGTGCTAACATGCAGCCTGTATACAACATCAATGGAATGAATTTTAAATAATCCGATGCCATAGCTATTCGATATAAATTGGAGCACACCACCATCATGCTCACCGCGAATTGGACAGCAATTATTTTCGCGAACATGATATTTACCGTATACGCATATCTGCGATTAGACAGAAGATTTAAATCATCTATTCTAATTAAATATCTATTTCAATTATTTATTATTTATTAACTGTTTCAAATTCACAAATTGTTGAATATAACGATCAATTATTAAAAACAAATGCAAGATGTAACTATACGTAATATCATCAAATCGCGTCAAAATTGAAATTTGCAATACCTCATATTATTTGTTAGCTGATAACAATTTTTGTATTATTTTAATTAAAGAATATAAAAAGTTGTTTCCGAAAAGACGACACTTTGTGCATGCGCACGTATTTCAAATTTAAGTAAAAGAAAATTATTTTAAGACACTAACTTAATTATATCATTGTGATGATTAATACAATCGCGCAGAATGCTTTGATTCTGATTGATTTTTTTTAATCGGTATTCCAGTATCTCGATCTGGCAACATATGTGCAGTAAAAGCCCGCAAACCAGACTCTCGCAAGCGACGTTCACTAAACCGGAAGTTGACATGCCTATCATCTGGTTAGTGTATACGAGAGTAAATGTAACAGGGGTTGAATAATCGAACGGTATCCAGGCTCTATATGTTAAATTCCCTTTTGAGAAATCCATGAAGATGGATGATAAAATTACTGAGACGACAGCTGTACCCACGAGAGTTAAATACCGCAGCGTATTATTCCTATAAAATGTGATCACAATTATACTGCTTTTACACAATTATGTAAAACTAGTATAATTATTATACAATTATGCTATTTATTTCTTTAACTTTACTCGTTATTTTATTTTTAAAATATTTTTGGGGATTTTTGTAGATTTTTTGAATTATTATAAATGCAGTGTCTTATTCGTAAAGATCGTAATATGAAATAGAGTTATTTAGTTTTATTTAATTAATGGAACATTCTCAATTTATTTAAATATAAATGCAAAGCATTTCTTATGTAAGTAAAAACAGATATTAATCAAATATTTTTTATAATGTTACATATACAACTAATACACTTATTTTTACATCTCCAATAATACTTACTGTACCATTTTATCAAATTTCTGTCGAATTATTATTTCGTGCGATTCACATGGACCAAATGGTTTCTTGTCGAGAGCATTTATTATTATCGTGACATTTTTATGATCTACCCACAAACAAATTTGTTTATACCCCGCGACAAATACGGTCAACATCATGTACAATGAATCGGTGAGTTCGTCCGAGTTATCGACATTCAGTACGATGTCCATAAATTGAGATATTGAAAATATATATAACGAAAGGATCAGAAACATTGCGTAAGTTTTGTAAATTATGTGTTTAAACAAGGATGTCCATGGAGGCGGTTGCCAGAATCCAGCAATCGTACAGATTATGAGGGTAAATTTCAGCACGCGCATTTGAGCTGTTCTAATTTAAATTTTTTTTACATAAACTGTTATTAATTATAAAATCTTTCGATATAAGATTTTGATTTATATAAAATCGGATAGACGTAGCATTAGGATATTACACTTGAAATGACCGAATCTTTACTCAAATAGCCGTATTTCGCAACACGTAGAGTGTTGAAATTTGCGTACCACGTATATACTTATAACAATGGAATTATTAAATCCGTTATAAACCGAAGTTTGTTTATTGACTGCGCGATTTCAGAGAACGGGAGCTGTGCGGGTAATACTCTGCGAATCTTAGACCATCGTACCAACATACAAAGATTAAGTTCGAACGATTAATCAATTGAAAACGTGTTAATTTGGCGACGGCTCGTGAACGACTACGCTAGCCAACGTGTCTCCTTTCGAGAGGACAGTATTCGAGAAGACAGTAGCGCCAATTATGGAGGTACGCAACGTTTACAATTGTATTGGAGACGGTGAGTATTCTTTACATTTCCTACATAATATTAAACACTATTATAATTAAAATGTCTTATTCATAAAGATTATATACAATACAAAATAAATTTAATGTCAAATCTGATCTAAGAAAGATCATAATGTAAGCTTTATTTTAAACTTACGAGAGATACTAACTACAATACTATATTGTTAAGTAGTCATTGTAGTCAATAATTAAATTATTGAAATTTATAAGAAATTTTATTTTTGCAGAATCTTTTTATATTTTTTTCTATTACATAATTTCCAATTTAATTTCAAATTAGTTATTTAACAAATAAATATTTTGTATTTGTATAAATCTTTTTATAAGAGTTAAACTCTTGTGGCTGTATAATACGCACAATATTATATTTATATATTTTTTTAAATCAATTTGTTTTCTAATTAATTCACTCCATTTTATTACTCTGGATTTAACTACTTATCATCAAATATTTGTAAAAGGCTGATTTTTTAAACACATACACAATTTTTCAAAAAAATAAATGTGTAAATTGTTGTCTTAAACAAAAATAAATAGAGCAAAAGATCGAAATATTCTGAATGTTTTGTAACTTCACTTTTCGCGATAGTGATGCTATTTGTATTCCTTACTGCGAATCTCTCTTTTCTTTGTATTCACTTGAATTATTAGCGTATATAATACTGCATACGATAATAACTTAAATAATGTTTTTACGAGCGAAGACACAATGTTTTTTTATGAGATATATGATATTTCAACGGAAGATTGCGTAATATCCTATTATTTTACATAGGGATGCGGGACAGAAGTATAAGATAAATATGTTCGGAGAAGTAAAGTTCTTTCGAATAGTGTCTCGTAAATTATTAGCTTTCAACTACTTCCACGGTTGATATAATTTTCTTATTGTACATTTATGACAAAATATTATTATTAGTTTTTATTACGCAATATCAAGAAATATTCCTGATATGAGTTGATGAAACAGTAACTTATGTCTGTGAAATTTTAATACCAAGCAGATACTCGATTTTGTACAATTTTATATTTTTTTATCTTACAGTAACTCGGCACTATCGTGATGACGCGATACAGTCAAAGTATAACTGAGACGTGCCATAACAAAACGTTACAAATGATAAAATTGTGCAAATGCGTTTTATTGTATACTTTTGTTTGAATTGTAAGTGCTGCATTTTATTACATATTAATATCTGACGCAGACAGTGCTTCTATAAATGAAGAAAAATGGAAAAATGGGAGTGAGACATGGGCATTTTTACTTAAACTTACAATATTTTGAAATTTTAATTATTTTAATTATGATTTTTTAAAAATTAGAACATAAAATTTTTGCAGAGATTGATTGCTCATATTTTTATAAATTTGTCAAAAATACTACTGCATTTTAATAATTAGTCGCACTAAACTTCTTTTATAAATATATTTGTTTATAACGTTGCCTCAGTTACCTGCTAATATTTTCTGTAATATTTTATTCAATCCAGAATGTTTTATTATCCAGGATACTAAATAATAAATTAGAATATATTTCAACAAAAAATAAATAATGCAAATCTTCGTAATATCATATTACATAAGAAATAGAGAAATATGGAAGAAAGGAGATAACACAAAAATGTTGGTAACAATTTTATTTTTAGTAGTAATATATGAAATTTTTGAAGTACTAACATAGTGCTTTAAATTATGCAGTTTGAATTTCTCTTCTTACAATGTCCAATCTTTTTAAACACCAAAATCAATAAGTTTTGTGAAAACTATCTAGTTAATACTAATGAAATATGGATTTTGTATTTAAATGGGTTGTGATTTCATAAGATATTAAATATGAATAATAACTTAATTACGTTATTATTCTTGCGTTTGATGCAACAAGTTGAAAGCCGAATATGACAGCTTAAGTAACTGTAAAAAATATAAATTAAATTATAAATTAATTATAAATTAAATAATTAGTTATAAATTAAAAATTACTTGAAATAGTTACAATATTTAGTAATATTATCTATCTTTGATACTGACAGCTACAAACGATTCGAGATTCATCGTGATTATGTACGCGCTACTAAATTCGATAGGCGTCATTGCGCGCTTCATGATTATTAAGAGACCTTTCTTGTTGTTATTGCTAAGTGTTGACCACTCTATATTATAAATATTGTTCACCAACTGAAGACTCTACGAGATATGTTGCACATTACAAAACAGAAATATTATATTTTTCTCTATTTTTTTTTTAATATCTCTTTTATTATGTCTTATATATATATATATATATATCCATATATATATGTATATATAATATGGATGTTAATTTATTTTAGAAAAATATATACTTTGGCTTTGACTTCGTTTCCAAACCAACAATAGATGAAAATTTGTGTCAATATGGCACTTGTGTACATCATCAATGAAATAAAGGTCACATAATCTGTTGCCATTGCTATTCGATATAAATTCGAGCATACTACCAACATGCTCACCGCGAATTGGATACCAATTATTTTCGCGAACATGTTATTCACTGTATATGCGTATCTGTGATTAAATAAGAGATGCTTAGTTTTCTGCATGTAGCTCTTAAAGTTATATACAAATTAAATTTTTATTATTATTTAATAACAAAATAATTAAAATAGATTATAAATTTCTTATCTTTCTTGAGATTTTCAGTAAATAAGAAAGGATCAACTAAAATTAGTTTAAAAGAAAATCTATAAATAAAAATTAAAATTGTATGTTATCATGTTATTTATATGTTAATTTTTGTATTATTTAAAGAACCATGGTTATGAAAACGGAATTTTGTATTATATGTAATATAAAGTTTTCGAAGTATCAAAAATACATAAAGAACCAACTCAAAAATACGGTTGTGATGATAAACACAGTCACGCAGAATATTTTCACCATGCACCATTTTCGTCAACCGATATTCCAAAATTTCAAGCTGGCTGCAGATGTGTAATAAAAGACCGAAAATGACGCTTTCGCAAGCGACATTTACTATACCGGAGGTTGCCATGCCTATCAACTGGTGAGCATAAACAAGAAAGTATATAGCAGGATACGAATAATTAAACGGCACCCATGCCTTATATGTCAAATTTCGATTCCTGAGTTCCGTAAAAACAGACGTCAAAATTATTGATATGATTGTCGCCATAATGAGAATCAAATATCGTAATGTGTTATTCCTATAAAGTAATCATGAAAATTAATGTAACTGTAATTTTTTTATATGAATTTGATAACTTTTTAACTCTATTATTATATTTTATTAATCTATAATATTTTCTCTTAGGTTCTTTTTCCATTTACAAAAATAAACAACATTTTTTTTATTCCAAGAAAGGTAGTAATGATTTTTGAAAAAATAAAATTATCTTACATTTTTGTAACAAAAATTATATTACATTTTTGCACAAATTGTCATGTAAATTATACGTACAATTTACAATTATATTACAGTATTACTTTAAAGTAGATAAAGGATACATATATAAGAGATATCTTGTTATTTAAAAAATGCGTTATCAAAAATTATTTTATTTGCGTTAAGATAATGATACTTACTGTACCATTTTTTCAAATTTCTGTTGAATCATTAGTTCGCGTGTTTCACTTGTTGCAAAAGGTTTTTCATTGAGAACGTTGATTATCACCATGATATTTTTACGATCTATCCACATATAAACTTGTTTATAGCCTGCGACGAATACGGTCAACATCATGTACAAAGAATCAGTGAACTCGTCAGAGTTTTCGACATTCAGTACAATGTTCATAAATTGAGATATCGAAAATATATATAATGAAGAGACAAGAAACAATGCGTATGTTTTATAAATTATATGTTTAAATAACGACGTCCATGAATCTGGTTGCCAGCATCCAGCGAATGCGCAGATTAGGAGTGTGAATTTCAGCACCCGCATTTGAGCCTCTTTAATACAACTTTGTTTACACCAATTGCTATTAATATCTATTAATTATATTATTTTTTAATATTTTATAGAAACGGTTCTCTTTTATAGAAAGGTCATATACAAGAAATAAAATAAATTTACTAAAAATGTTAAAAAGACATACCTAAAAATTTAAAATCTATTTTTTAATTTATTTAATATAATTCCGTTTTAAGTATATTTTATTTATTTTATAAGTATATTTTCTACAGTATATTTTTATGTTATAGAGTTTAACTGAAGATATTTTAATGTAAAAAATCGATGTTTAGTATAAATTTTGAGTTTTAGTATAATTTTCAAGATTTGATTAAAGAGTAAATTAGTAACAAATATCAATATATTTCAAAATCGTTTGATAAGATTTTATTTTCTAATATTAAGTTTTTGATATGCATATAATACTTGTATACATTGCATTTACAAAGCTCTTCTGATCTCTTTACCTACACCATGAATTACTTACGTTTAGCTTTAGGTTCAACTTTTTCACTTTTTAATTAATTTAAGCCATTTATATGATTTTTAGAAGCATTGTCTGAGCTCTTGTCGCGTCTTAAATGAAAATAGATAAGATATGAAACGGGAAGAAAGACTCGGAATGTCTGTAAAATGTCTCACGACTTTCTGATAATGATACTATTCGTTACATATTCTCCATATGTATCTCTGTCATTATTGTAATATCCATACATATAACTTGCGATGATATATCTCGTGAAATGATATCTTCACAAATTAAAATGCGGAATTGTTTTGGTATATGTCGTATTATTAGAAAATTATATAATGTACTACTGTTTTCATAAAAACAGTGGGACAGAGAGAAAATTGATATACGGAAAAGCAAGTTCTCTGAATTTTTCTCTCAATAAATTCCTCTCAATAAATTATTAATCGTCAACTATTTGCAGAATACTCTATAATGTAAGCTCTTTGTTGTACGTCAAAATACTTTCCAGTGTATTGTCTACAATTTTAAACATATATCTTTGAATGTCAGTTAATGAATAATTAGCTGCAGTTTACCTCTATGAAATGTTAATATCAATAGCCCATACACTCAATTTCACATTTACTATAATTTCGTTATTCTACCGCGTGTAGTCTGGCATGTATATCGGAACACGCTAACATAATTCCAGAGCGTGTATCATAACATATTTCCATATTGATTCTATAACGTTTATTCTCTCCCACATCGCGAACGTAAATGAGGTAAGAAAATATTTTAACCCTTTAATGCAGATTTTTCGCCTATACATTTATACGCGGTTCAAGAGTTTAAATTAAAATTTATTGATATATTTGTACGTGTAAAACTAATATATACTTATTATGTTAATAACTGTAATATCGGATATTACGAAACAATGATTGTTCAAAATAAAAAATAGTTTTAATGTAAAACGTATTTGCAATAGAAAAATAGCAAATAAATAAAATATCTCAGACACTCATGCATACACACAGAAATAACGATTTTATTTATATCGTGGGCACAAATTTTTTAAATTATTGATAAAATACTTTAATTAACATTTTTTTAATTTCTCCTAAAAATGCTTAAAACTTGTCTTCGTGCGATAATTTTTCAAGAAGCATCAATAAAAATTCTCGCTAAAAATGTTATAAATCTGAAAATTATTTTATTGACTAACGAGGTATTAATATTATTTCTACATTTCAACATTTTTTTCATGTGATTTCGTAACAAAATTAATGTGAACAATAACAATTCCCAATTTTATTATTTACTATTCATGTGTTTGATGCAGCAAATTGAAAACCGAATATGACATCTTAAGCAACTGTAAAAAATTATAGTTGTATTAAAAATTATTTTAAATTATTGCAATATTTAGTCATAATATCTATCTTTGATACTGACAGCTACAAACGATTCAAGATTCATCGTAATTATGTACGCGCTAGTAAATTCGATGGGAGTCGTCGCGCGCCTCATTATTAATAAAATATCCTTTTTGTTGCTATTGCTAAGCGCCGGCCAGTCTGTATTATAAATGCTATTCATCAATTGAAGGCTCTACAAATAAAAACGTAATATATTTTACACAATATTAGTGAAAAATAGTATATTTCTTTCAAAAATTTAATATATTATGTATTTTTTCAGCTCTTGCATTTAGCTACGCAATTTTTCCATCCATTTTAAATAATATTTAATATATAAATAGGATCAATTTAAATAAGATGTACTTTTATCTTGACTTCGTTTCCAAACCAGCAGTAGATGAAAATCTGCACTAATATAGCACTTGTATACATCATCAGTGGAATAAAACTCAAATAGTCGGCTGCCATAGCTATTCGATACAAATTCGAGCACACCACCAACATGCTCACAGCAAACTGGATAGCGATTATTTTCGCGAACATATTATTTATCGTATATGCGTATCTGCGATTAGATTAAAAATTCTCTGTAATATTTTGATATTTTTGAAAGCATTTTTAAAAATTACGAATTATTAGATTCATTTTACTAAATTTTAATCGCTCGGTTAATACAGAATATTTAGAATATTAAAGTTCTTCTCACATTAATTTTTTTATGGATTTTTTATCTATCTCAGAATTTATCTATCTTTAATGAAAATTTTATTAATATTTTTTATTACAAGTGTATACATATATGAAATATGTTAAAGTATTTACATATTAAAATTATTAATTTACATATTAAAATTTAAATATTATTAATAAATATTGAATCTCTACGAAAATTCATTTTCAATTTCTCGTCAATCAAATTCTATTTGGAGTTCAATAAAGAATTCAAAATTCTGTTAACAATATTCACATCTCTTTATTTTATCTTCGCGCTGAAATTTTTTAGATCAATTGTTTAAGTAAATCTATACTTTACGCGCAATCTAAATTTTTTAATTAAAAGAAAATACTAGAAGATTTTTGTCTTAAATGCAAAACTACTTAAATAAACTAACTCAAAGATACGGTTGTGGTGACAAACGCAGTCGCGCAGACTATTTTGATTATGCGTAAGTTTTGCCAATCGATACCCCAGAATTTCAAATTGACAACAGATGTGCAGCAAGAATCCACAAAGTAAACTCTCGATAGCGACATTTACTATACCAGAGGTTGACATGGCTATTAATTGGTGAGTATATACAACATAATATGTAGCGGTAGACGAGTAGTCAAACGGTATCCATGTCTTATACGTCAAGGTTTTGTTCATAAGATTCGTGGAGACAGACATCGTTATTATCGATGTGATCGACATCATGACGATGGTTAAATACCTCCGCATGTTGTTCCTATAAAATAATTACACAATTTGTTACAGCCAGTTTCATGAGATTAACTCGTTCTATTTCTTTTTAATATATCTCCTTAGCAGTATTACTTATATTTACAATATTTTTTAATTTCTTATTTGTATTTATAAACGTAAAAATATTTGTTTTTCCACGAAAAGTGGAAGTAATAAAAAAATGTTTTAAAAATACTTAATAAAATGAGATACATTTTATATATTGTTTGTATTAAATTATTATGTGATAAAGTAGATATGTCAATTAATGCTGTAATTATTTCAAAACATCTAAAAAAAGAGCAAGATATCTTGCTATCTAGAGAAAATTTAAATTTATCGAGGAACAGGTGTTGCCTTTGATTGTATATTCTTACAATGATACTTACTGTATCATTTTTTCAAATTTCTCTCGAATCATTACTTCATGTGTTTCATATGGCACAAAAGGTTTCTCATTAAGAACATTTATTATTACCATAACATTCTTACGCTCTACCCACATATAAATCTGTTTGTAGCCTGCTACGAGTATCGTCAACATCATATACAAGGCATCGGTAAATTCATCAGAGTTGCCGACGTTTAATATAATATTTATAAATTGAGAAAGAAGAAATACATATAACGAGGAGATCAGAAATATTGCGTAAGCCTTATAAATTATTTGTTTAAACAGCGATGTCCATGTAAGCGGCTGCCAACATCCAGCGAGCGCGCAGATCATGAGTGTAAATTGCAACAAGCGCATTTGAGCTTCTCTTTAATGCAATTAGCCTACACAATTTGCTGTTAACATTTACATTACTGTTTATCACGGTCGAGATGCTTCTTTTTTTAAGGATGGAAGAAGAAAATGTTAAGAATGATTCTAATACTAATTTAAAGAAGATAGAAAAATCCTTTGAAATCTGTATTTTAAAATCTTGTGTTTTATGCAATTTTACAAATAAATTCTATGTAATCACTAATCAGTATTCTATAATTTAAGATTTAATTAAATGATATACATTTTTTTTTAATACACGTACTAAAAAATTATAAGAAAATTTCTTTCCAAGGAAAGAAGTAATTTTGAAATTCAAAAAATTTTATTACATAAAGCATATTGCAAAGTATATGTAAAGCATATGCTAATTTAACAATTTTTAATTATTCAATTTTTTCAGTATTAAGGTTTTATATATGTGTGTAATGTAAACTTACAAAAATTTTCCTATTAATTTGCACTACTTGCGTCTACTTTAGCTATTCATCACATTGTCAACAAAACTAACTTAAACCAGTCATGTAATTCTCACAGACATTATTTGATTAAATCTTTGTTTCTTCGTCTCCTGAGACTACAATGGATAAATGTATCTATCGTACCTCTCGATTTGTACGATTTTCTAATAGTTATATATTTCTACTCGTTCCACACACGCGTATCCATATCCCTATTATTATTATAATATGAAACTAACAACGACGTTCTTGAGACATAATATTTTCATGAATCAAGATTGTTTCGAGATGTATGCTTTATAAGAAAATTGTGTAATAGACCGTCTATGAATATTTTCATGAAAACGAGACAGAAGAGGTAGACAGATATACGAACGAATTCTTTGAACTGTCCCCAGCGAGATGTTTTATTTGTCCTCTATTTCCGCAATTATTTCTTTTATATAATATATCAATTCACTCTCTCTGGTACATTACAAAATATTTTTACTGTCTGGTTGCAAAGATAATATCTTGGTTGCGTAGTGAATCGTTAGGTATAGTTCATGGCAATGAAATTTTAATGTTGATAGTCCGTATGCTCGGTTAGATACTAATAAATAAACTTTTTGTTATAGCGTACTCTGTCTACGACCTGCTGTCACATATCGAAATATTATCACATATCGTGCTTTACTGACTTTTACGCTTACTCTCTCTTGAACGAATGTATATATGTATATATGGGTAAGGAAATAGTTTTAATTCTTAGATGAAAATTGAAGATATTAATTATGCACAGTAATTATAATAAAAATTTTCTGTTAGAATATATTTATTTGCATTTTTTTTCCTTGCAATATTATTTACTATAATAAAATATCGCACAGCACTTTAATTGCAGGCTATAAATATTTGTAGCAAGGAGGAATTATTACTTAATTATTTCTATTAGAGAAATATCGAAAATCTTTATAACAATGCTTTTTGGATATCTATTGTTAATATAAAGTCCTTGTAATATCATCTTAATTCTCGTCATCATAACCATGTTTAATATTTTGTTTACATGCCACAGAGTAAAATACGTGCTAATGCAAATATGATTATAACGTAAATAATCTTCCGCAAACAATTTATATATTGTCTAAAAACAAATTAACGATACATATCAACGATATGTTAATACATTTATTTTTGCTCTTCAACATACCTTCTACGTTGCTGCGTGAAATATAAACAATGACAATTTCTATTTATCAATTATGTTCCTGAGAGCGCTTCAATACATTGTATGCCGAATACGATGCTTTAAATAACTGTAAAAAAAAATTTTAAATGCATTTAATATTGCTTGAATCGTTAATAGGAAAAAATAAATTAAATGTATTCTCATAATTAATTAATACTAACGGACACAAACGAGTCAAGATTCAATGTGACGATAACCGCGCTATTAAATTCAATTGGAATCATCGTGCGTCTCAATATTAATAGAAGATCTTTTTTGGTCTTGATATCAAGCCTGAACCATTCCATCTTGTATATACCGGTTGCTAATCCGATACTCTGTAAGTAAAAAATATTAATAAAATAATATTTTATTAATATGTTAAAAAAATAGCAAAAGTATATGTGAGAAAAATATTGTGTGATAATGATTCTTTTTCTTCTTTTAATTTTTTATTTTAAAGTTCTAGTAGTTACAGAAAAAAAATATAATTTATTTTTTTATATCTAAATACAAGATTGTATATATATGTAGACAAATTATATACTTTTAATTTGAGTTCATTTCCAAACCAACAATAGAGGAAGATCTGTGACAACATACAGGCCGTATACAGTATCAGTGTAATAATGCTTCCATTGATCATCAAGTTGGGAATAGAAGCCAATTTATACAAATTAGCACACACCACTAGCATGCTTACTGCAAACTGAAGAGCAATTATCTTCGCAAATCTGCGATTTACCGTGTACGCATATCTACGATTGAATAGAGGATTTTAGTCTATTTTCTATAACATTTAAAATGATTTATCAATCTCATCGAACACTTCTTATGGCACTTCTTTGTCAGATAAACGATTGTGAGATAATGATTTAATTTTCGAAATACTTCGAGATGATAATTTCGAAAAAAATGCGCGTACAAACGAACAATTTTGTGCGTGATGATCACATTCCAAATTTTTGAAGTAACAAAAATTTGTTTTAAAAAACTAACTCATATATACGGTTGTGGTGACGTACACAATAAAAAAAATGCGCGTACAAACGAACAATTTTGTGCGTAATGATTACATTCCAAATTTTTGAAGTAACAAAAATTTGTTTTAAAAAACTAACTCATATATACGGTTGTGGTGACGTACACAATTGGAGAGAACATGTTGATCATTTACAATTTTCGTCAATCGATTTTCCAGAAACTCGAACTGACAGCAGATCTCCTGCAAGAGTCCGAATACCAGGCTGTCGCATGCAACATTTACAGATGCACAGATTGACATACCTAACAATTGGTGAGTGAATACGAAAAAAAACATAATGGGTGACGTGTAGTCGAACGGTACCCATGCTTTGTACGTCAAATGTCCATTTATAAAATCCATAAAGATAGCATTTAAAATTATGCCTACGACCGTCACTTGGACGAGGCCATAATACCACCATGCGTATTTTCTATAAAATATATTTCTTGTGAAAATATTCTAACGACTGTAGAGTATTGTTCACTTGTTTCTAAAGTATTTGTTTATATGTAATTCAGCTTACTATATTTTTCTTGAATTTAAATATATGTTGTTTGTGAAATATTGATGATTTACAAGCCTTGGAAGAATGCTTGTAATGAAGCATTGAAATAATTACGTTCAAAAAAATGATCAAATTGTAAACACGATATACTACATATTAAATTAAATAAATAAAAATATAAAATATGGTTATTTTACATTCTAAAGTATTGCTATAATGTATTTATCAATGAAATTAATAATGCAATAATGGAACTAAAATATTCTAAAATTCTATGAAATTATTCAAAAATTGATTATGACTGGTGCACTTAAGCCTGATTGTACCAATGTTATTTTGACTTTAAAACAAGACTTAAAACTCAAAATAACTTTGATGCAATCGGGCTTTACTTGTAAATTTGAAAATGATACTTGCCTTATTGCTTTGTTATATTTATCTCGAAGCATTACTTCGCATGATCCTGACGGTTTAAAAGGCTTCTCCGTAAGAACATTGATGATCATTATGACATGTTCCTTAATTATCCACATAGTAATTATTTTATAAGTCGCGATGAATATCGTCAACGTCATATATATATTATCGCTTATTTCGGCGAAGTTGTTAATATTCAGTACAATGTTCATAACTTGCGATATCGTAAATGTAGTCATTAAGCAAATTAACAATATTTTATAACAGTTGTACATCATACGTTGAGGCAGCGATGTCCATGTAAGAGGCTGCCAGCATCCGCTGACCGCGCAAAGTATAAGTGTAAATCGTAGCACGAGCATTATAACTTTTTCAATTTAATTTCTCCTACGCATGAATTACTTACAGTATTATATCTATCTATTTATATTATAATCTATCTATCATATATAAAATAAAAAGGAGTAAAATAAAAAAAGTTTTATGGCAAGATTTTTAAAATGTTACACGAACACACATAATATATATATGTATATATATATATATAATAAAATATTTTTTCTGACATATAATATAAAGTTTAACTTTACTTAAAATGATTAAGTAAAAAAATTTCTATTAATAAATTATCTCTAAATAATCTAAAGAATCTCGTTATAAAATATAAACAGTCCACAATTTTAAAACATAAACATAATATAATCGTACTGTTTCATTTTTTTTTTAATACATAACTTGTGAATTCACAATATCTGTTATACTTACAACGTGATTAATTTTGACAGTGAATTACTTGACATCACATTAAAAAATATTTACTGCAAATATCTCAAATAATAATTTATGCTACTTAAATAATTCATAGAAATATCATATGGTTAAATTATATGACATATTCGTACATGAAAGAAAGCAATGAACGAATTTTACGAGAGAGCGGAATAGCACCAAGAATGTCTATAGCCTCGCGACACCACTGTGACAATGTGATATCCATCCGCCGAACCCTTTTTTATCTGTCTCTATTATTATCGTAATATTGCGATCTTGCGACTGAATATTATTTTCATGAGTCAACATACATAGATAAGCTGCAATTTTTGTCACGCGATGGGGTAAATAACATTTCCACAAGATAGATGGCAAGAGTACTTTCAAAGGTTCATCAATACGGGACGCCAGGTGTTCCTATATGTTGCCCCTATGAAGTATTCATGCAAGTCACTTATTCTACATTGATCAAAAAATGTTTTTTTTATTACTCTCGCTACCCAGTGTTTGACATGTCATCACATACTATTATACGTTTTGCATATTGATTTCTATTCGCGATTGCCGGTAGAATATAAACGTATTGTAGAGAAAATGAATCTTATTGTTAGAAGCTATTAGTCTCACAGTGACAAGTTTTTACGATTTTAAGTCGAGCTCTTTTTACATTATTATGGTAATTAAAACTATATTATATACGAAATTTAATGATGTATGCAAAGCGTGAGTACTAATACATACTTAGCGTTAACTTCAACATCATACCAATTCATTCAGTAATGGTATCAGATATGAAAATACAAAAGTAAAACATAAGAATAAAACATAAGATTACATAAATTGTATTTATGCAATTCTATTTACTTAATAGAAAATTCTCGTATTCTAGCATAGATAATTTTTATTTAATACATTTTAAAAATTTAGCGTCGTTTTATCTTAAAACGACGCTAAATCTCCTTATCATTCTTTATCGAACTTTTTCATGGCTTATTTGCATTATTATTAAAATATGAGTTGCGTTAGCGTTCTCTGCGCAATAATACTTATCTGCAATTTCTACACGTAATATTTGTGATACGTAATCTTTATGACAAAACTGCGTAGTATATCGCAACTGCGTAGAACTGCAGCGACGTGCAATAACGAGAGAAAATATACAAATGAGATCTTTATATTCCTATTAACAAATCAATATATTATGAATTATTTCTCTTTATATAGATACTTACTTCTTAGTGTACACGCATTAGTTAATAATTTTATTAAATATTTTATTCATTACTATACGAAAAAAAAGGAATTCTTCGTACAATTAATGAAATGATAGGAACTATATACATGGCTCGTCTGGATGAAACATAACATAGATAATATATCTATCATAAGATATCATCATTGTATTAGTTCGCAGTCTTAAATCATCATTAGGCACATCGTTACATATCAATTTGTGCATCCACTACGCCGTACATATAAATAAGAATATATAAGAGAAGATATTATCTTGACTCTCTCTCTTAAATACGGACCTATTCAAGTTACACTAAGATTGCTCGTTACAAAAACTAATCTTTTGCATTTAGACATTGCAATTAATATGTGTGTAATTTACATATTTGCATATTTGTTTAAGTTAATGATTCCCGCTGAAACATCCTTATCAAGAAAATGATAAAAGCATGATTTAACATTACGTAAAAATATCAAGTAACATTTCTCCAAAGAGTATCAGATAGGTAATATTAAAAATACAATTCAATTTTTCAAAGACATTGGATGTTGAAGGATTAATCATGTATGACATCTGTAACGACAAGTATTATTAATGGATAGATATCGGTTAATCATGGATAAGAGAAGATGAAAATAAATCATAATACACATAGACACGCAAAAAAGTTTGCAATAAATTATATTTATAGAACTTTATTGTAAATAATCATTTTCCGTAATTTACTTATATTTTGACTTATGATCGCGCGTGCACGCATTCTTCTACTATAAATATACTAATCATTATTTAACATAGCTTGACATTTTCTCTCGAAAATTTGTCATTAGCATTAATAAACTACTATCACTTTCGATGTATCAGGAATTTAAATTTAATATCTATTATTAATAATATATGTATTATTAATAATGATTTTCAATTTTGTGTTACATCACTGTTTCTGTGACCGTATCAATACATTAAAAAGGGAATATGACGTTCTAAGCACCTAAACAATTATAAAATCAATGTCAAATTTATCAAGCAAATTGCTTGTTTACGCGGAAAAAATGAGTTTGTCATACAGACCTTTACGAAAGAGTCAAGATTCACCGGCACAATTTCTGCACCGGTAAATTCGATTGGTATCGTAGAACGATTCATGATCATTAAGAGTCCTCTCTTCACGTTTTTGTTGAATATTGTCCATTCCATATTATAAATACTGTTTGATAATTGAAGGCTCTGTATATAAAATTATAGAAACATATATATATTCTCTCTCTCTCTCTCTCTCTCTCTCTCTCTCTCTCTCTTTCTATACATATATATATATATATATATATATATATTTGTATATACATTTTCCTCTTTTTATAGCGGTAGGTATAACATTGATTTCGTAACTTTCTTTCTTTTAGATAAATTGAAAAATATTTATAAAATTAAAAAACTAATTACTAAAACTACCTTTAACTTGATTTCATTGCCAAACCAGCAATAATAAAAAATTGGAGCCAGAGTGGAAGATATGACCATAACGTCCTGTATATAAGAAACAGTATTGGACGATGTAAAAGCCATATGAATTAAATTGTAGGACATTACCACCGTGATCATTGCGAATTCACTAGGAACTATCTTGCCAAATTTATCGTTCAGCATATATGCGTATCTAAAATTACATAGAATTACAGTTTCAATTCATCTACCAATTTTTTTCTAGAATATCTAATGATGAATTTAATGATGAATTTACATTGGCAAATTTAATATCCAAACATGAAAAATATCTTATGATTTTATTGTTTAATAAATATTTTTACAGTAGCTTCTATGATTTTTCAAAAAGAATTCAAGAAAGAGATTCTAGATCATAAGATAATCTGCTATTGTTTTTGTTCTATGTCAAAAATAATAAAATAGTTTTCAAAAGACTCATTTTTACTACACAATTATGATGAATAGAAATTAATTATTATTCGTTGCTTAATAAGCACATATTTATTTTCGCAAATCCTACAGAATCTAAACAGATCTTCTTTGTAATATAAAGATGTAATTGTAATATAAAAATGGAATATAAAAAAAAATAATAGAGCTTAATTAAAAAATATTAAGCTTTTTTCTATATTTGTTTACCTTACGTATTAATAATTGTAAAATGTATATTTGAAAAGAAATGAATATAAATTTCAAAAAATATGTGGAGCATTAATTTGCTACTTAATTTAATATAAATTTTACAATTAAATTATTATTCTTTAAACTAATTGAAGAATCTGTCATCATAGAAACATAAAATTTTAATAAAAGTATATATATCTTACAGAAATATATAAGTGGCATTCTAGAATTAGAAAAAACTTACTCGAATATATGTACGTGGTGGTCGACGCAATCGCGTAGATTTTCTTCACCATTCGTGATGTTCGACAAACGATACTCTAAAATCTCGATCTGGCAGCAAATATGCAGCAATAATCCGCAAATTAAATTGTCACACGTGGGATGGACAAGACCAATGAATATCAGAGTTAATATCTGATGAGCGTATGCGAGAGAAAATCGCACGGATGTTGAGCTGTCGAACGGTAACCATGCTTTGTACATTAAAGCTCCATTCATGAAATCCGTGAAAAACGAAAGCGAAATCATGTAGAAGGCAGTTATCGAGACGAGGACTAGATAACATAATGTATTATTCCTATAAAATCAATTATTTATAAAATATGTAATGTAATTTAATTAGTTTTAATATAATTCATTCAATTTAATATTTATCGATAGCACGTAAACGTGCTGAAGGTAACTCACGTTATTCTCTTGTCGAACTTTTGTCGAATCATACTTTCTCTCAGATCCATCGGTTTAAATGGCTTATCAACGAAAGTGTCAATTAACATTATAATACTATTGTGATTTAACCGTAAAACAATTGCCTTGTAGCACGCCAAAAGCGAAATCACAACGTTGAACAAGGTTTCGCCAATTGCGTCGGGGTCGTCGGCATTCAGTATCAGCTCCATAATTTGGGTCATTGCAAATGTGTATAATGTTAGAATTATAAACGCTGTGTAAGCGTTATATATTATGTGACTAAACAGCGATGTCCACGATGTTGGTCGCCAGCATCCTGCGACCGCTAAAACCGTGAGCGTAAATTTCAAGACAGGCATTTCGCTTTTCCTTCCAACATCACTTCTCAACATCCACTTGCCCAACATCAATAACTGTTTCGATTAATGTATGCACTTATTTACTACAAGTTTCAATTATTATGATAATAGAGCGACTGATAATAGAGCGGCAATATTAATTGAGATTAATAGTTTTTTCGACGGTGTTCCATATGTATATGTGCAATATTTACAATATTAGATTGAGAAATATTCGATCATTTATCTGTCTAAGTAATTCTAAATAACTAGTTGCCTATGTAAATATGTTAATAATTAGATATGTACAAATATAAAAATTTAATAATAATAAAAAATAAAAGCACATCTGTATTATTATTATGACATTATTATAATATTTATATGAAATATCTCAATTTTTTGTACATTCAACTTACGAAGATTTCGTTAAATTTGTTTGAACAATTGAATACTTCAAGTTTTGATCGAATTCGCTGCACGTTGTCTGACGAGTCAAACGATGTTACAAGGGGACAACAATCTCATAAAGTCTATAGCCTCTCATTCGATAACGACATTTCATTCCTTACTTCCCTCTTCATATAAAATATCTGTGTTATTATCATAATAACAGATTTGCAACAATATTTCTCTCGTGAAACATTATTCTTGTGAATTGTGCGACATCCTTTTCCGAAATAAAACCTTTATTACATAATTGCGTAATGTAGCATTATTTTTGTAGAGACAAAAGCGGGACAAAAGAAGAAGCTAGGTATATGCAATCAGATATTATAGAAAAATAAATTCTTTAAATTGTCATTAATAGAATAGTAGCCGTTAGCCATCTCTGAGAAACTTGATACAGTATTTCCTTTGTTGTACGTCTATTGCAAAATATCTTATTTATAACCGTCGGCAATATCACAATTTTGTTCTATAGTACAATGGAGATATACGCAAAAATAAATTCTTCAAATATTAAGTTAAGCAGCGACAGTAGCTGGCCTGTATAAAAAACGTTAATACATCTACAGGTTCAATTGCAAGCTGTTATCACCACATTTTCTGCTATACTATTCACAATATATCATTGTATATGATATTGTGAGATCGTACACTCTCCGAGATACATTTTCGGTATATCTTGATTGAGCATAAAAGGTATAGAAAGTACATTATTTTAAAGTTATTATTAAGTTATTTTTAAGTGATTTAATTTTACTACTATAGAATCTTAAGACTCTAGACAAACATATTTCTCGTAGATTATTTCTTTAATTAAAGTAGCTGTATTACTATAATACCTACATGTATCAAATATTCAAAAAATACAATTTTTATTACAAAATTACTTAATGTAGTTTTTTAAAGATAATTGCGAGACAATAGGAAAAACACTTACTTGAAAGAATAAACCTCTTCCAATTATTATTAACACATTTTTGATAGACTATTTTGTGATATTTTGTCGTTGGTTCCTTATTGTGTATCGATTATGAGATGTTTAAATTTTTATTGTCCGACGTTATACACAAAAGTACAATATTTCGAATTTTAAGAAATAAATCCATATTTTATCTTCATAAAATTGTAATATACTCATAAAAACACTTATAAAGATAAATCAATGACATGTAAATATTTTACATAAAATTTTACATGTTTTATCTCCGATTATGACACCGTACAAATATAAAATTTGTACATATTTCAAAGTCCAAAATAGAGAGAGTATGGTATCAGAATTAAATTTTGTAATATTTATTTTTTTTTTTTTTGGTAATATTAAAAATATTTTCAAGATATAAAAGACACTGTTATATACATGTACATATATTTTTTTACAACTGTTGCTAATAAATAGAATGAATATAATCGATTTACAATTATCTTATATATATATTACAATTCTATTATAATTATTATATGCAACTTAATACCAATACACCAATAATCCAAAATACACTTTATCTTACTTATTTTTCTATTTTTATTACTCTTGCACTTGCGTTAATAAATTATAAACAGAATACGATGTTTTAAGCAACTGAAATAAAAAAAACACTTAATATTAATAAATACAATGACAATATTTATAAATAGGTTAATAATATTGCATCTGTATGAGTAAATTTACAAAAGTGGTAAATAAGATTATTTATTAGTAATTAAATAATTGGATTGTAAACAGTAATGAAATTTTATTTGATTGTCTAAATTATATTTGAAAAATATTTTATACATTAGTTTCAACGTTTTTATACTAACCGCTACAAAGGAATCCAAATTCATAGACAGGATATATACAGTAGAAATTTCAATAGGTGTCATTGCACGTTTCATAATTATCAATAAGCTTTTCTTCATATTATTATCCATAATTGGCCACTCCATTTGAAAAATACTATCTGTTAATTGAAGACTCTGCGGAATAATGTATAAAATATAATATTTATTGTTTCTAATAATCCGTTTTATTAGACGTACCTTTAATTTGACTTTATTTCCAAACCAGCAATAAATAAATATCTGCGTCAACATGCAGGTTGTGTATATAATTAACGGAATATGATCTGCGTTCAAAGTTGATTTAGTCAGTTGATACAAATTTGAGCAAAATATCATCATACTTGCCATAAACTGAAATCCGATTATTTTAGTAAATTTTATATTCACTATCTGAGCAAATCTGCAATCATAATTTTCGCTGTTATAAAGTCATAATATTTGTACACCGAGCAAAATTTATAAATGAATTTTTTTATTATTGCAATACTAATTACGAAGAAAATTCATGACATATATGAGAACTGATTGACAAAGATTAATGTATTAGTAAAGCACTAGTAAAAATATCTATAGCAAATACAACGATAGAAACATGTGGTAAAAGTCAATATAATAAATAATTACATGTATAGGCAATTACATTTAAATAGTAAACTATATTTTGAGGATTTCACAATGTTAGCCATTCTGATGTAGCATAGAATTTTTTATCTTTTTCTTTATAGTTGATGAAAATTTAAAAAAATAGAAGAAAACATATGATATACTTCCACCACAGTTTTGCCAAATAACTCACACATAGTAGCAATGTTGAATGATATACAATTTTCCGGCATTAAAATGATAACTAACTCAAAAATTCGATTATGATGGCGTATGCAGTAACCCAGAGTAAGTTGATTGCCCAAAATTTTTTTCAGGCGATATTCCAAGATTTCAATTTGACAACATATGTGCATTAAGAATCCGCACATGAGACTGTCTATTGCGACGTTTACAACAGCGCTGTGACATGCGCTTAACATTTGTTGAGCATATGCAAAACAAAATATCACATAAGACGAATAATCAAACGGTATCCATTCTCTATACTTTAGCTTTTTGTATCTAAAGTCAGTAAATATCGAAGACGAAATGACGAACGTACATGTTGTCGCGACCAAAATGATATATCGTAATGTGTTGTTCCTAGAAAATGACTAATGAGTTATATCCATGTTATTTCTAATATAAAATATATAAGCTATAAAATAAAATATGAAATATTTGAAAATATTTTATGCTTATTCTTTGTAATATACATGTTGTTATTTGGTAATAATACTGTTAATTAAATCTTATTTTATTGGTTAGAAAAAAATATATTTTATTAAATGATATAGAAATGTTATTTACAGTTTTTTAATAATTATTAATAAAATAATTTTTTTGAATAAAATTAGATCACACACACACACACACACACACACAATTAATTATTTAATTAAAAATATATACGTACATTTCTTTGTGCATATAAAAAATATTATAAATGATATTGTAATTAACATTAATTTAGAAGAGAGCTAAAAATGAAAAATAAAAAATTATTTAATTGAAAAACATATTTACCGTATTATTTTGTCATATTGTTGTCGAATTTTCATCTCATCCGAATCCAATGGTTTGAACGGCTCTTCGGTAAGATAGTTAATTAACATTACCATGTTCTCATAATTTAAACACATAATAAACATTTTGTAGCACGAAGCTAATATAGTTAACATCATATTTAGATTATTTGTGAAGTCATCAGCATTGTCAACGTACAGAATAATGTCCATAATTTGCAATATTGTAAACGTGTATAACATAAAAATTATGTATAATCTATAGATATTATAAACTGTTCGCTTAAATAAAGACGTCCATGATTGCGGTCGAAAACACCCAGATACCGTAATAGTTGTATACGTCAAATTCAGAATATGCATTATATCTACTAGTTTAATTGTGCGAAAAAAGAAAAATAAAATGAAAAAGATAGAGATAAAACGGAAATCGGTTATTCAACGCGTGTTATTAACTTTGCTAGTAATTATGAAAATCTTTGGTCAATATTCATTGCTCTTGAGACTTTAACTTGATAGAATCTCTATTATACGAGACGTAAGATGAAATAATGTAATTTCATTAAGTTGCACTGTAGTAGAGTGTCTATAGACTTATGACGTTACTTCCCGATGGTAACAATATTTTTCATCATCGATATTCCTGCTTACTTCTGCATATTTAATATCTGTTTCTTCATAATACTGTTTCTTCCAATTTGCAGTAATTGTCTCGAATACAATATTTCCATATTTTAAGATAATTGGATAAATTATTTCAACATACAATTTCTATTATACATGTAGAAGATGTAATATTTTTTCATTGTTACATCGGGATAGAGAGCAAAATTATAACATAGCAGAACGAGGAAAAAGAATTCCTCAAAAATTCATCAATAGAATATGAGATAGGAACCTTGACAGTACTTTCATATATGTCTCTCATTAATATACGACCTATTTCATTACGTTATCTTCTATCCTTTGAAGAGAAGAATCGCGACATTTTATAGTATT